GAATTATCTGGGAACCAATTCTTAACCTAAAGATAAAAAATAAATGAATAGAAAGTATTTGTATCAAAATGTAATTATAATGAGCTGGTAGTGTTTGTACATTCACCACAGGAGGGCAATCCTGGTACAACAACAGGAAGGTGTGTACCTGTGCAAGCTTTCATGTGTCCATGTTCCCCACTTCCACCTAACTAGATCAATTTCTCATGGGGGAGTTGTGTCTGTATTATAACTGTGTCCACCATAAAAAGAAAAAAAAAAAAAGGGCTTTTTAACTGAGGAACACTTACATAGATTTCTCTTTGGCTTCCATGTTAATAAAGATTTGTTTCTAGACAGTTCAGGGTGGGGACAAAATAAGCCCTTTTGGAACTGTTACTGTTGGTTCAGTAAGTATCAATTTAAAAACTACATGAATCATTACCCAAAGAGTTTGGAAATCATCCATTGACCAAGTAGACATCTTCCAGTATTCAGTGGCAGAATATTCTTGATATCAACCCAAAGAGTAATTTACAACACTGTCATAAGGTTTAAAACTAGACAAAAAGGATTTTTTTTCTACTTCTACTAGAATTATAATTACTATTCTATTTTATTCTTTATTCACCCATTTCCAAAACAGATCCAAAAATATCTGTGTAAAGTACTGCAAAGACTTCTTATACATTGTGAGTACTTATGAAAGTATTTTGGGATGTAAGTACCTCCCTATGATTGCCCCTTTTTTAATCTAGATGCTTCCATAATCAGTAGTGACTTACTCCAAGATTAGCGACACTTAGCGACACCAATTTCTTCAGCTCACAATTAGCTTGCCTGATATCGGCAACATATTTTTGAATGGCCTCAATTCATGCATAAGATCTCTCTACGTAGATGTTCATAAATTAATTTGTTCTTTCACTGTATTCTAATGGGTTTGTGGACTTAAAGGAATAATTACACCCAATATGAAAGCTGGGCTCAACCTAATAATCCTTCTATATATATTCTCTCAAAGAGAAACATTAGAACGAAAGGGCTAGTGGATGTTTTTTCAAGGACAGTGGAACACCATTTTTGAATTCACTGATATCCATTAGATTTCTACCATGGAAATCATTGAGAAATACCTCATCTCAAACTTTCCTAGCCTCAAAATAACATGATTCCATGTATAGATAGATAGATTCGTTTCATGAAGTGAAACCTTCAAAGCCTCCAGTTAAACTGGAATGTTTTAGGGGCCTATAATCCCATCACATGAATCTGCTTCTTTTGTCTTGTAATAGATTCTGCAAATCTATTTCCATGTTTTGTTGTTATTTTAACCAAGAAAACATTTCACCTTTGCTTTCCACAGACCAAGTCCCCTAAATGCAGTGTTATTTCTGGGATTTGAATAGAAAGAAGGACTTGAAAACAAACAAAAAAAATACACTATTACTATTAATGAAGTAACTGAAGATTTCATTATACTGTGATGAAGGTCCTGAATTCTAGAAAATTCTTAGCAGTCATTTTTAGATCAGAAATACTAGTCCTATTATTGATTTTTACTGATTTTTGGAGTTTTAGTAACTTTAAAGGCAGCAGTTGTGCAGCAACATGTATCGTCTTGTTCTATTGAAATTCAGATTATACTTCCAGTTATAAAACAAAAAAAATGAAGTACTGTGAAATTACAAGCTAATTTGACAGAAAATACTATCCTTTTTAGAGATTGTGTGTCTTGGTGTACACATTTTCCTCAATTACTTCCATGCATATAAACAAAGATTTAGGTGCTCAAAGACAAAGAAATGTAGCTCACAAACACTACCAAAACCTTCTCTGTCTGGACACAATGGAAGCTTACAATGTTTTTTTTCCCAAGTTTTTCCTCACATTTTTCACATTTGTCCCTCTTTAGACTGACACTCAATCACCCAGAATGACTCTCCCTTATATTAAAGCTTACAATGAGCAAGTATCTGCAGCTGTATACAGCACTATTAAAGAAATTAAACCATAAAAGTTTCAAATATCAGAGACAATGTAGTTTATAAATGAGTGTGATAGACAGAGATCAGTACTTATATGTGTTTCATTTAATTATGGATTTATTCAATAAGTCTCTTGAACCTTATGCTGCAGTTTTTCTAGAATACCATTGTTTTCCATACATTCTATCCTTCCTTTTGTGGATGGGATAAGATTCAAGCATCCTGGTTTCAGGTGGGATGGTTAGTTCTTTTCCTAGTAGTTGGTATGGTGCTGTGTTTTTGATTTAGGAGGAAAATAGTGTTGATAACACACTGATGTTTTAGCTGTTGATGAACAGCAGGCACTTACATCAAATCAAGGACTTTTCAGCTTGTTGTGCTGCCTTACCAGTGTAAGGCTGGGGGTACATAAAGAGCTGGGAAGGGACAGAGCCAGAACAGCTAAACCAAACTGGCCAAAGGGATACTCCTTACTATACATGGTCATGCTGAACAACAGAAATGGGGGGGAGTCATTCAAGGCCAGGGGAAGGCATTGCATACATACTTGCTGAGCATCAGTCAGCTGGTAAGTAAGTGCATTGTGCATTACTTTTGTTTTGTTTCTTTCTCCTCTCATTCTTCCTTATTATGTTGTCTTTATCTCAACCCATGAGTTCTTGCACTTTTCACCTCCTCATTTTGAAGGAAGTAACCGTACATACTATTTTTACACCACTGAAGAGGACATTCATTTCAGGATTTCAGGAATCAAATTATAAGAACAGTATCACAAGTAGCTGTCAACAATTTCTTATTCAAGGACTTACATTATTTAATGCTCCTGACCAGCAAGTCATTATGATTCTTTTCAGTTTCATAAGTGATATTTCTCCAGGTTTATCTTTTTTCACCCCTTTGAAGACATCCTCTTAATAGCATATGGGATTCGTAAGTGCATTATGTTAAATCAATATCTGTCAAAGGCATTCATTTGACTAAAAGCTCTTAATACACTTTTTCTTCATAATCACAGCTCGTGTCTACAGGGAGCAATAAAGCAAGGGTTAGCTTTAACAGAGGTACAAGAAAGTAATCTACATATTTCATTAAATATGTTTTCTTGCAAGTGATACAAGCAACACAGACCCTTCATTTAAGAGGGTCAGAAGATCATTTGTTGAATAAAATAAAAGCCCACTTCAAGTTGACTCTGATATAGAGTATTAAAAGCAACAAGAAAAGCTCCTATAAGTATATAAGTACACCAGTGCCACAGAACAGCACAGAAGGTACTGAATGCCTTCTTTACCTTATTCTGAGAAGGCATTACCATCCCTCGAGGAAATACAGGCCCAAAGATTGTCGGAGAAGTCTGGAGGAGGGAATAAAACTACCCATGGTTGAAGAGGATCAGGTGAGGGATACTTAGGCAAGTTGGACATACCCATTACTGCTGAGGAAGCTGGCAGATATTTTGATACCAGTCTCAGTCTTTGACTGTGGCAACTGAGGTATCCTGTGACTAGAGGAAAGCAAATATCACTCCTAGCTTCAAGAAAGAGGACACAGGAAACTACACACAGTCAGCCTCACCTCAGCATGTGGGAAGGTGATAGAGCAACTCTTCCTGGAAACTATTTCCAGGCATGCAAAGAGCAAGGAAGTGATTGAGAGTAGTTAGCATATATTCACAAAGGGGAAGTCACGCTTGATCAACTTGATAGTGTTCTACAACGAAATAGCTCTCTTGGTAGATGATGGCAGAGTAGCACATATAGTCTACGTGGACTTCTGTAAGGCTTTTTACTGTCTCCCATAAGATAATCATGGAAAAGCTGTTGAAATATGGGCTGGGTAAGTAGACAGAAAACCATCTGAATGGCCAGTCCCAGAGTAGGGTGAACAAAGATATACAAAGTATAGTTGGAGGCCAACAACAGCAGCATACCAATGGATAAATCTGGTCCAATCTGTTTTAAATTCTTCGCTAATTATGACAGGACAAGAGACAGTGTGCACATACTGAAACACTAAAGGTTCCCTCTGAACATCAGCAAGCACTTCTGTACTGTGTGGGTGACTGAGCACCAGCACAAGTTTCTCTAAGATGTTGTGAAGCTTACCTTCCTGGAAATCTTCAAAAGCAATCTGGATGCAGTCCTGGGAAACCTACTGTAAGTCACTCTAGGGGGTTAGACCAGATGACATTCAGCTGTCCCTTACAACCCCAGCCATCCTGTGATAAGTAGAATCAAGATGCAGTGCCAAAAAAAAAAAAAAAAAGCCTAGCTGTTATAGTTAGATACTGTTCCAACTGTATCTTCAAGTTTAGTCATACAGCATGAGATATGAAAGTGCAGTCTTGAACATTTTCTGTCTTTTTCATAAACAAAGTACACTTATATAAAACTTGATTTTTTAGACTTCACACTTATGCTTAGTAGGAAATGTAGCCATCAAGTAATTTCTGCCCAGGCTCCTGCAAATAGCTTGATTAAAAAAGTGATTAAATGTAAACCAGAATCACCATCCAAAACTCAAAAGCATGGAACCCTCAGTCCTTCCCATTCAGCTCTTCCCCCAAGGGGGAATGATGAGTAGATGAATAATGTGATCAGCCATCTGAAAAACCCGGACTTGAGCAAGATAGTGAACTGAATGAATTCTAATACCTTTAGCCCAACACAATGAAAGTGAAATGAATAGGCAAAATACCTAAGATTTGAACACAATACCTTGTACTGATGAGTTAAAGATCCCAGATGTTCAAATGTATTCCTAGACAGATATTTTCCCAACAGCTACCCCATTTCTGTTTTCTGACATAGAACCACAGAATCACTTAGTTCGGAAGAGTTTATGATCATCTAGTCCAACATTTAACCTAGCACTGCCAACATTTCTTTCATTTTCCCAGTGGTGGGAGTACATATTTAAAGTCTACATTTTTGCTTGTAACTACTTAAGAATTTTTTTTTTCCTACTGGAGGAGTTTATACTTTGAAGCACATATACAAGTTCGTATTAAACATCGAGTAAAAGTATCGTGAATAAGGTAGTTAAAGTTCTTATTTTTATTAGTCACTGCCTCTACACAAAGATCTTCTAAGCTACAAGACAATGAAATACCTCAAAAGGCAAGTTAAACAGATTTTTAAGTTACAGCAAAAAGAAGTATTGATTTTCAATATTTCTGTAAACCTCCTAAAAGAGAGTTCTGTAAAATCACAGACTTCATGCAGAACTTCTGCCTACAGTTAGCATTAATGACAATAAATAATGTCTGTTCCTAATAATGACAATGTGGAAATATCATGTGGATTTTTAACAGTTCTCCCTGCAGAACAATAAACGCAGATATGACAAGTACTTTTTCCAGTAATCAGAGCTGATTAATGCAATTATACACAAAACCAAGAAACAGAACCAGAGGGATCTGGATCTTCCCCTGGGTTCCATTTTCTCAACTGGCAAAATATACATTAGGTAAAAGAATGGTGACATGAAAAAACATCTACACATCAGGTTACAGAACAGATATTTCTCTAAAATTCATTTTTTTTTCATATGAATATTAGTGGGTCATCCTAGAACCTGTGGTATAACAATTCAAATATCTGTTTACTTTTTAGAACAACATAGTCCGTTTTTGCTTGGCCTCATACCACCCAGTATTCTTACCTCTTCTGCCTCTCCCACAGAGATCAGGATTTAGATCAAATATAACAGGATGTGTTCAAAATAATGGATATTTACTATACAAGATCATTTTAATATTTATTTTCAGCAATTCCTTATTGCAGTTGTAGACAGAGCAAACGTTGGGAAGCTTAGAAGGAATACGACCACATTTTAAGTGCACATCTTTTAACAATACACTTTCCTAAAATACAGTTCAAAGACAAGAAATGGGATATCACTTCAGAAAAAAAGTTTGAAAGGTTTATATTCTGTAAAGTTAAACTCTTCCAATAATTCAAATGAAAATGCATGATGTTATAAGAGCTTAGAAGACATATAGGTTTAAAGGTATAATCCCAGAGAAACTTGGCAATAAACTTCAAGTTACTCCTACTGGTTTGCACAACCATTTTATTTCAAAAAAAAAAAAAAAAAAGCATTTTTACCAAAAAATACAATGATCTTTTTCCACCAAGTGTACCGTATTGTTCATCATTCACTGAAATTCACAATAATTTGTAGTACTTTGAACATAATCATTCCTCACCATCTCTGAAAACTGATTTAAACTGTTGCCAAAACATCGTGTGTCTAACTTATAGGAAAAAAATAAGTACTTTGCACTGCTTTCTGCATCTCTATAGATGAGCTATTTCATGGAAAAAGACTAGGAAAAATGAACAAGTAAAGCACTCTGTTATTCCATTCATTCTCCTGGTTATAGCCTGTAAGTGTAAATAAAGGCCTTTATTCCCTAAAGCACAATAAAACAGATGTGCTAAAGGTTATTGCAAACTGAAATCTAAAATTCTTGGTTGTTTTAAGTGAAAAACCTCAGTGATAACAGAGCCATGTCAGTTTTCAGCAGTTAAAAATATGATTGAGGTATTTAGGATTTAGAATTACTCTTTCAGAGTCTGCACTTATAAGATAAGGAATCTTCAAGACAGCTTTTTCTAGAGGCTACAAATCTCTATGGATGCATAGCTTTCAGTTGAAATATCAATTCATATACTTTCCTCTTTCAGCATTATTAATATCAGAGACAGTCTGCTAACATTTAGCAGCCTTTTGGGTTTGTTCACATTAGATTAACATATCTACTCTCCTTTAAGGAGAGTACTACATCATATTATTATTTCCAGCTAATGAATTCCTGGTTAGTAACAGCTTTTATTTAGCTTCTTTGTTTAGCTCAATAAGTATACTTTGAAATGTTTAGCTTAACTACTTATTTATGGCATCTTTTTATTTGCTCAGTGATCAGTTTTGTACAATTCTTAATACTTCTTCACACAACTCTCCACATTCCCTTCTGCACTGACAATGGTCCATTTACATATATATGCAAGTTATTTTATAGACTTAAAAATAATATTTCCACATGGTCTGCAAACAAGCCTTAATTCTACTCATCAGCATTAATGTTTATATTCATTTTTATTCACATTTTTTCCCTTCTCATAGGTCACTGTATGGTACCATAGGCCCCTTGGTGTCTCACAACAGCTGTTCAGCAGTGCCTGAGAGATCTGGTATTCCAGATAGAAACTTTTGCCTTTCCAAGTTTTTCATTCATTTAAGGATAACATTTTTAAGGTAGACAAATTAAGCATGCTTAATATGCTTGGATTTTTTTTTAACCTGAATTTTCACAATGCAACATTTCAGGAAAAAAAAATGCAGGCCTAAGGAAATGTAGGTTCTATGTGGAACCTTGATCTGCAGAAGGAACAAGTTGAAAATCCTTACTATGAGGGAGTACAAAATAAAAGTTACATGCAAAATGCTGGGATGAAAATTCAAGTTAGACTACTAACAGAGGTATCATCCTGCAAGTGGCATTCAGACTGTAAACCAAGGTTAAAACATTTGGTGCCTTCTTCAGTGATATTCCAAGTGTGTCTATATATACACAGTCTCAGCCTTGATCAGTAGCTCTATAGTAGTATTAATTAGAACTGATTGACAACTTCTGTTTTTTAAACGATGCATTTCAGTGCTAGGGCTGTGGACGGTCAAGTCTCTAAAGAGAAACACACAGGAGCTGTCATAGGCATGTCTCCTGTTCCTGTCCTACAGCATCCAGATGCTGTCTCCCACAAGTGGTTTAACACTCGTCTCAGATTTGATTTCTCATTGCCTTTTCACAACACAATGACAGGGGATGATTAAAGAGTGGGACACATACACCTACCTTCCCAACCTTTTGGTTTGCAGGCGAACACTTGAACACCAATGAAGAACATTAACTCTCTATAACCCACAGCAAAGGCCATACAGATAATCCATTACAGTAAGCTGTAAACATGCACAGAAGTTCAAATCAGGCATAAGAGGAATGATTTTCATCTAGCAGAGGAAGAAGCTCCCATCTGTCCAATGCTAGTTATTTATAGGGGGTATTTTGAACATTTAAAGTTATCTGTTTCTATTGTCTGAAAAAAAAAAAGTTTTCACTGTTCTCTAAACTGAAAACATAGTAACACAAGCAAGAAAGTGTAAAAAACTTAAGCTGAATAAGAAACATTACAACCGATTAGTTTTTCATGATCACAGCCCAGGCAAGCTCTAGAAGCTGTTCTGTGCATTGGTCACCTCAGAGCTATCAGCTTCTGCCCAGGAATGTAGTATGTGGTAATAAGAAATGTAAATTCAGTCTGAATAATTGACAACTTTTTTTTCTAACCGCAGGCCAGCGATTCAAAACCATCCCAGCTTGTTAGGGGACAGAAGTTGTTTTAATTTACCATCTGTTGAGTGGCTTTCCTGAAGCATGTCAGTGATCTCTATTGAATTCAAAGCTGATGCGTCTGTATCACAGCATGCTCAGATGCCATTTGACAAAGCATCTTGTTGCCAGACACAGGCACAATAGATATTTCAGGTTCCTCTTTTCCTTCACTAACTCTTACAAATAAGAAAGGGTAAATATAACTGAAATATGCATGCAAAGCTGGTACAGTGGGTGTCCAATTTTCTTTGGTTTCAGAGGAATATAAAGCACAAAGCATCAGTTCATCACTGTTACCTGTGTGGTGCCCAAGAATCCAGGCAAGGGGGTTGTTCTAGCCGTCATCCTTATGTTCAAGGGGGTGCACAGTGTCAGGCCTTTCCCGGCCCTCATCTGGCTTCAGGTGCCCCTGGGGTACAAGACTCAAGGTCATACCCTGCAACCCTTCAGAATACCTCAAAGTTCACTTTAAAAAACTTACATACACAAAGTCCCAATGAAATCACCTGGTAAGATTCGATGGTTTCCTAACACTATTTTAAAATGTATCCTTAATGGAATATTACAGTATGTAATCAAATAAAAGGCACCTCTTAAGGTTTGCTAAAAGCCTTTGGTTGTTTTCCCAGAAAAGGAGATAGATACATTTTCCAAGTTTATTTGGCTGTCTTCAGTCACTTTCCATTTAAACCATATTTTAAATTGCATCAGGTTTATTTATGTCAAGAAATTGAATCAGATAAACAACACAGCTATGTGTATTCAAATTAAATAGCAGAAGTATCTAACTCAAGGAAGTAGTTGGAATAGTAGGCTGTTCTGAGCTTTGAAGATCTTGAAAAAGAAAACAAAGGGAAAAGTATGTAAGACCTTAAGATCTGAGTCGTAAAAACACAGATAATTAGGTACAGAAAAAGCAAAGAATAGTAAATATCTGAGCTAAGTGTTGCCTCAGCTGCTGTGTGTTCAGGGTCTTCCAACTTTTCTTCCAGGAAACCTTCTGTTTTTATTTTTTCAGAGGCAGATTTGCTTTAAGCAAGTACCACATAACCACTAACACCACACAGAGCTTTGATAAATAGCACTTCTGTATCACCCTACATGCAGGTCTTTAGATGTACATTGAGCTGCTTGACAGTTTGAGACAGAGGTAAATCACCCAGCTGATATTTCTGATACAAAGCTTTAACTGATAGCACCCTTCAAGTGCAGAAAGGGAAGACCTAGATGGCAAGAACACCTATTTTCTTGTCCTTCACTTGAACTGTTGGCCTTAGAAAGAATAATCCACAGACCAGGGAGTCTGATGCAGGGTCACTGACAGCCTGTGCATATCCTACATGCCTGGCACCAACAAGGATCCAAGACAGCCCAGTTCTGGTGCAGATGCCTTAGGAGGCCCTAGATACCTGAACAGGATCTCCATGCAATTCTAGTGGACCAAAGGTGTCTGTATGGACTCACTGTTCTAATCCTGCAGAAAGAAGTCGGAGCAGATTTTTTCCCCATCACCTTACAGAAATCTGAGCCTATGAGAACTACAGCCCTGAAGCTGCCTACAGACTTCATAATAAACCAGAGTATACTTTTCAGGTCTTCAATATTTCAAAAGCTACAGGAGTTATAATTATAATAATTGAAAGCTAAACAGCATCAAAAACACAGTATTTGTTTTAATAAAAGATACTGTTGTCTTCATTCTCGCACCCAGGACAGATCAAAACAAAAAGGGAAAAAAGTCAAGGAAAGAATAGACAACTGAGATATTAAAAAGGTGAGGTAGGTGACAATGGCTGCTGGGCAGCAAAATACAAGTCAGCTTTTGTTATATCTTCGTCCTCAGTTTTGTCCTAAGTTAAGTTGTGACAAGTTTGATGTTTCTCACTTCTTGTGTCTCACTTCTCACTCTCATGTGAGAGTCTATCTGCTTTACACCTCCAATTCGTGATGCTCTCACACCTGTCAGTTCAGCCTTCTCTCCTTTGTCAACTGGCACATATCTTCAATGAGTGATAGCCAGCTAAATTTCAGTACAGACAAAATAGACCTATTCCTCTCCCAACAGCACCTTCTACATTTTCTCCATGTTACTTTTTGACAAACCTTTTTTCATTATTCATTCCTGCAGCAAAACATAGCCTTGTGTTTTATATCATATCTAGTAAATTCTTGCTAATATGAAGGCTAACACTTTTTCTTTGTCTCATGGACAGTAGCGATCATTTTCTAATCACAACTTAATCTCAGTATCACTGGTTTCTAGTAATCAGCTGTTCAACCAGTCTTTGTTCAAACCACATCTTTTTTTTTTTTTTTTTTAAACTGTCTACGGTACTTTTCCCTGCATTACGATATCAGGTTAGGTTTGGTCTTAAATGGTCTTAAAGGCTTACCATCCTAAATTATTTCTTGGACCTCGCCTTCTGTCACGACAGCTTACTCAGAAATGCCTCTTTGCCTCCTTCTCCTGCTACTTTCACACTTCCTCCACACTGCCCACTCTGCAAAGAGAAAGCCTTCCACTCCAGTATGCCATCCCCCTCCCACACACATTCTCATTCAAATTCCTCCTGAGAGCTATTTTTGGTCAACCTTAAATAAGTCACATTGCTTCAAGCCCAATATTTAGCTGAGCAAATGCTGAAGATTAACATGAAAATCCAGCCAGAATTACGTTCCTATTTCTCCTCTAACAGAGTTCGTCCCTGTAGTCAGTTTTCCAAAATCACTGCTTCTTCCTGCCCTCTGAATGATACATTTCTTGCTTCTGTGTAGTCACTACTCTGCCAATGCATAAGTCTGTCTAAAAAAAACATACTTCTGTCAAGCTGCTTATTCCATCTCATAAGTGATTTGTGATTTAATTACAAATCGTTGTAGAGTTCACTCGCAGCATCGGTACTGGAAGTTCTCAAAGCAGAGACAATTCCCTACATCTGCTGAGATCAGATAGAGGAAATGTTCATTCCAAGTCATTCAGGCCTACTCTTCGTTTTTACACTGTACTTTTTAATAATATCGAAACATCTATTACATAAATAAACCAAGAGAAATGAGATTCCCTAGCTGCAGGGGTAGATGCCTTTAAAAAAAAAAATTAGACTCATGAATGTTCCAAAAAAGGTAACAGAAACAAGTAAATGCTCCTTCAGGAAAGGGTAGACAGTGGGTTTAGTAGCTATATATTTGATTTTAAGCCAGAATAAAAATATTTCAGTATGTGGAAAAGTGATCAATGAGAACTGTAAGATCTTCTGTTGTACTACATGTGCAGACAGTAAGTTTTGTTTTCTTAGCCTTCCAATGTGAAGGCTGCATACGTCTACTCAGAGACATGTGAAAGAAGTCCCTTCTCATTTGCATTGTAAATGCACATAGCCTACTCCCACAACGAACACCAAGAGCAAACCTTATATAGCAATCCCGAACAGATTTCCTTGCCACAGCAAATTCAGTGCCTGCTGTCACTGCAGCACTTCAGAGAAACAAGTTTGAAGCGTTACTCAAATAAGTTAAGAATCCATTTTAATACAGGAAGTCTTACTACACTAAAGTTAAAGTCCAGTAGTTCATTGTTCTATCACTTTATGAATTTCTTAATTAAAATGAATAGAAATTGCTTGCCTGTTTAACACCAGCAAGATGTCCTCCCACTAGTCCTCTAGGGAGGTAGAAGAGGGGCTACCCCACAAGTACATTACTATTTCTCCTTCCTGGATGGACAGCTTTTTGGTACTGAATGAAAAATAAATACAGACCAAGCAGGGTGTTCCAAAGAAAGGATTTCATAAATGTTTAGTTATATGATGACATAAGTGTGTTTCTTTTGATCCTGTGTATAAATAAATGCTATTAACTCACCACTCCTGGACTTTAGCTCAGAAGAGCTGCTGACTCCTTATTCAGCCTCAGCAGGATCTGTTCTTATGTATCACAAAAACTCTGCAGTGAAAAAAGTATAATGCAAGGACTAAAAAAAAAAAAAAAAAAAAAACACTAATCTTGTACATCACTTGTCCTCAGAGAAGTAGTATCTGCCTGTTTTCCTTCACTCTTAAAACTGTTTGCACAGGGTCTCACAAAGCATAGAATTTGTTGCTGCACAGAAACCATTGGTGTCTCATAGCAGCTACAATTTTGATGCTACCTGAATACAAAGGAACACACTGCAGTTTTCTGCAGCTGTTGGACCACTTTTAAGAGGTCTCCATGAAGAACAGATTCAATACATAAATCTAATCTCATTTTCACAGATACTCAGAAGTAACAGACCTATTCTGAACCAAAACTAATGCAAGTTGGGCTTTGACTTCATTTCATAGCTATTACAGCCCATTTGGGTGCACCCAAGCATTTAGTTGAGAAACAGATACTATTTCTCATGGACATATGCAAAGCATGCTTTCCAGGCTACTCTTCCATCATTAAAATGGAAGTCTGCAATGTGTAAGCTGCCTACCCCTCCTAAACCCCTTGGTAGCACGGCAAGGCACGAGATGCCAGCCAAGCTGTCAGACTGATTCTTTACCCATTGAGCCTCCTCTGAGGTGCCTCTGACCTGGTCAGGAAAGTCAAGTGTAAGGGCCATAATCCTGAGGAGACTTTCTAGTAGAATAAGTCATTATCCACAGAGGGAGAAAGTACAGCTCTATGACTGGGATCACTGGGTTCAACACACCATTATAAATAAAAGCAGAAACTTCAACTGCTCACCAAAAAAAAGAAAAACCTTCTTGCTCAAATCCATTTACAGAAAACAGGGTTTAATTAATCTTTTTTTAATTAAAGTGCAAGAAGCTGATTTTTATTTATTTTGAAGACTGTGTGAAAGCTTTTGTGAGGTGAGTGGCTCTTAAAAGGGCATGAAAGCAGCAGGCAGTAAGGTCAGAGTGACCTGATCTCCCCACAGCCACCAGCTTGCAAGAACATAAAATAACATAAAAAACACTGCAGTGTCCAACCTACAACATTAGAACAACAAATCTGTTAGTGCAATCAAAGCCAGGCAACTTCAGTTCAAGAGGTTCTGCAGCTCCTCAGGTGCTCTGACTTCAGTGATGCTGGGGAAGATAGCACTGAAGACAGAGCCACCATCATTCTTGGAAGTTGATGGCTGTATGCAAGGTTGCATGTTCAATCAGAGAAGGCAACATTAACAAGCTAGAACACAAATTAAAAATTGGGACCATTTACCATGGGCTAAGAAAATTAGCACATGTGGCCTGAGCCACATGAGATGGTTTAACTGCCTTTGGCTGTAGCGTGGGGAGCTAACAGCACATCGATGAACTGCTGAACATTTCTCCAGACAGCATAATTTGATCTTGAGGTGAGGTCTGTAAAAGATGAACCAACCTTCCACAGTAATTTTTACTTGAAATATTTGAATTTATTAATAACGTAAACTGT